AATAATAATGACGACGATGACGATGACGATGACGATGACGATGACGATGATGATGACGATGATGTTATTTATTTATTTATTTATTTATTTACAATATTTTTTAGCCGCACCATTGATGATGATGATGATGATGCCGCTTCTGAGGGGAGGAGGGATGGAGCCTTGATAAGTCTCCATCATCCTAGCTCAGCCTCTTTGCTGTTTTTGCCTAGCAAAGAGGAGAGCTGTGCAGCTGAGCGAGAAGAGCTTTCATTTTTCCCTGACTCAGCTTATCTCTGATCTTTAGTTGGGTAGCCCTTCAGCATTATTCAGCTGTTGCTATTTCTTTGTTTTTTGGTTTAAAGTTAGATTCAGTCTTATTATTTTAAAGGTTTCCTATCCTTGGGTGATTTTTGGCATCAGATTAGGTTTGTGCTTCAGCGGGACCCAGCTGCTTTCCTCTTTTTATTTATCTAAAATAGTGGGTTCCTTTTCTTATTAGCTTTTTTTTCTGCCTTTTCTTATTAGCCTTTATTTCTGCCTGGGGGGTCTTTGGGCAGGGGATCTTTGCTTTACTAACTCCCCCTCCCCCCTCCCGATAGTTGCTTTTGTTCTGATTTAAGGTTAATTAGTAGAGGATTTTTCAATTATAGTTCAATATTTAAGGCATGTTAGGTGTATTTCTAATTTTATTCTTTTCTCTTTTCTTTCTTCTATTTCTTTCATAAATTAATTTGTTGGTTTTAGTTTAGCATAATAGTACAGTAGCTAATAAACAATTAAGAATAATTTGAATGTGTATATATAATTCATTTAATTAGCAGGCGTGCTCAAGTTAAAAATTAGCAGAAAGAAATATTTACATCCAAAGGTACAATTTGATTATCAGAAAGCAATCTTGGTAAACTTTTTAGAGAAAAACACCAATTTTAAGAGTTTCCATAAAGCAGCCTTGATCTCATTGTTTCTCATGCTGTAGATGAAAGGATTCAGTGTGGGAGGAATTATAGAATACATTACAGCAGAAGCCATATGCATAGAAACATCACTGGGTGGAATTACATAAGCAAAGACTGCAGTCAACACATAAAAAGAGACAACAGTGAGGTGAGGAATGCAAGTGGAGAAAGCTTTTTTCCGACCATGTACAGATGGGATTCTCAGCACAGTTGCAATGATCTTCAGGTATGTTATGATAATAAAGACAAAGCATGCTAGTACTACACCAGAGCTTAGTGCAAGAAACCCAACTTCAACTAAATAAATATCAGAGCAAGAAAGCTTTAATAAATGTGGGATTTCACAGAAGAATTGACTGATACGATTAGAACAAAAGGTATTTGCAAAGGTGCCACCTGTATGCAAGATGGCATTAAAAACACTAACTATCCACCCAGTGGCCATCATCTTCAGGCAGGTTCCTTGGTGCATAATTCTTTCATACTGAAGTGGGTTGCAGATTGCAATATGGCGATCATGTGCCATTATAGTTAGGATAATTAAAGCAGAAGATGCAAACAATACATAAAAGAAAACTTGAGCAACGCATCCAGAATAAGAAATGGACCTGTCATCCATAAGGGATACAGCCATTGATTTGGGGACTATGACTGAAACTGCGCCAAGGTCTACCATGGCCAAATTGAGCAGGAAGAAGTACATAGGGATATGCAAGTGATAGTTAACGATTATGGCAATGGTGATGAGAAGATTCCCTGTTACTGCCATCAGATACAGCACTATGAACAAAAAGAAATGTAAAAGCTGTAGTTCTTGGGCATCTGAGAATCCCAGCAGCAGAACTGTGGACATGGAAGTCAGATTGTTCATTTTGTCTTCTACAGCTGCACACCATCTGTACCTGGAAAAGAGTGTCTATTAAAGCCTATTTGCAATGTTTTTATTCAAAATTATTTCTTTATTCAATCTGTGGTGAACAAAAAATCAAAGCATAAATTGGTGATTGGAGCTATGCTTCTCAAAATATGTGCATATTGATTCTCTTTACTTATGCCATAGCTTCCACCCAATTAAAGATAGTAAGATCCTCTCTTTTTTCTTTTTTCCTTTGAGGATAATGTCCCACTTGCCTGTGAGTAAGCCCATAAATTCGAGGCTTATTTTTGTTCAAATACAGATCACTTGATTTTGCCCTAGCAAAATATGTAATTTGCTGGCTCTTTAGAGGTATAGCCTCAATGGCATATTTTTGCTTTTAATTAATTGGTTTATTTTTTCTTTTTCAGTAATACTGTGCCAAACCAACAATAAACCCAAACCAAATAGTCTAATGTGATCTTTTTCAGCATTTTCATGTTTCCTAGGTTTAAAAAAAAGTATTTTAAAATGTCGTAGGTAAACGGATAATGAAACAGGTGTGGAATACATTCCACATTCTATGGAAATTTCAATAGTGGAAGATTTTCTTAGAGTAAGGGTACTTTGTTGCGGAACCATTTCATATATAAATTAGCATGAATACAAAGGTAGACAGAGAAACGTGATCTGTGCAAGATGTGCAGCCGCAGACGCCCCCAACCGCGCCTTTCCTTGCCCCTGCTAAGTCCCGGCAACAATAAAATATACAACAGTAACTCAAATTTGAGCAGAACACAAATTTCAAGTATAAGAAAAACAAAATTGGTAACCAAACCCAGGGAGGGAGCCGATGCTACCCTCCCAGCTTCCTGAATGCTGTTCCTCATAGCCTTGCTCAGTGATGCAGCTGGAGAAAAACCAAGCAGTGGAACTCCATCCTTACCAAATGCCAGGAAAGGAATAGGGCGAGGAGAAGGGGGAACATCCCTTAAATAACTTAACATTCCCCCCTCTCTTTCTATGTCCTTCTCGTGAGACTAGGAGTCTCGTGTTATCCAGAGAGGGAGGCAAAGGCAAGCCGTGCTACTGAAATCCAGCTCAGCACGGGCTCGAGCATTGTGTTGAGTTAGCTCACTGCTACACCTATCCCAGTATTGTCACTGTGACTGGCAACAGTTCTCTGGAATCTGGAGTAGGAATGTCATTTACCTTTACTTGAAAATTCCTGGTATTCCGTGATGGGCTATCAGCCAACTAATAACCAGCTGTAACCCTGGTTAGTTTCTTAAGCAGGATGAGATTGGGTACCTTGAAGTGATGAGCTGTAGCTAGAAGGCATAATATGGCAGTGGTATGACGGCCTATTTATCCTTTCTTTAGGACTCAATGGAACTAGAAATGCCTCATATATGAAAACACTGGAAAATATTTGCAGCAAGAGATAATTGTAGCATGCCTTGGGGAGAAGGCTTTTCAGCCTGTTATTCTTGCAATCCCATTCCACAAAGACCAATCCACTTAATTAGAAAGCAATGTCGAAGCTACCCTCCCCTCACAATTTTGTTTCTTCAGTTTTTCAGCAAGCCTACTGCACTTTTGAACCTAATTTTTTTCTGCAGCATTCTCTTTTAGGTTTTCCCTGCTCCTTGGCATGAACTATTCTTTTCAGATGTTGCTAGAAAACCTCTTCTACTCATATTTAAACTGAGTTTATGTATTTTATTTCAGCTTGGTTTATCAATTTGACCACTATTGATGTACCTTATGTTTACCAAATTCCAATATCTGTATAGAATCCTTTAGACTGACTCCAGTTATGCACCAAATGCAACTTCTGGACAATCCTCAATTTGGTGTTGTTGTATATGAACTAGATTACAAGGGAGTGATCCAGTCAAAAAATCATCAAGTCGGACACTTAGCTATTCCAGTCTAGAAACAGAAAGAGCTGATGAACCAGATCTGCACTCCAGTGAAGACATATGCACCTCTAGTAATGTTTTTTACAATGATTTCATGTAGCTGAGTTCCAGTCTATGGAAGCCTTTTTATGTGGTCAACAGTTCTAATCCACAAATGACTTCAGCCTAAATATGTTTGGTGTTCGTAAACTGCTTACTAACTGTAAAGACACTTTTAAAATGATAAGGACCAAATGTATTAGGTGCTGAGGATTGTGATAGTAATGATCAGGTCTATGAGGAAAAAGTACTCTGTTGAAGGAAATAGATGCACCTAGCATGAAGAGATGACTGAACCATGTTAAGAGGCACTCTTCAGAAACCTTAAGGGCTGTCAGATAGACTTTGTTTTCTACCTTGGAAAACAAGACTACATCAAATGGGTTTCAGTATGTTACATTTTGATCATGGAATCAATTCCCAAAGATAGTGATTGTCTGGAGTTCTGGCGTTCAGTGCCACCACTGAGCAGATATCCTCTAATTCTATTCCACCTTTCCATCCAAATCCAAAGAAGCAGTCTTGGTTCTAAGCTGGTACTGTTGTTAGGTGGAATTCAGATTGGTCCAACGTCGCATTTCCTATCTTGCACTTCTTTGTAGATGGACCACGAATTCCATCAAAATAAGTCAACGGCATGTTCTGGAGTTGTAGGCAATTATAGTGACCTGATATGCAGTGTCTTTTATAAAAAAAAACAAAGAGCATACTACATAAAATCAAGGGGAGATAAAACATTCCATGGCTATGATTTAATAAGTTTATCAGACATGAAGTGTTAAGTTTCCTGACAAAAATTAGCAGAGAGAAATATTTGAATGCAATGTATAATTAAATGTTAACAATGTAACACCAGCAAGTTTTTTTTAGAAGAAAACAACAGTTTTAAGACTTTCCACAAGGCAGCCTTGATCTC